GGAAATTCCATAATTCATAATAGTAGTTTATTGAAAATCCGAGTGACTCGTGAGAAATGTTCTCCCAGCGTACCTCACGTTTTTCCATTTTTTTTAATACGTTATTCCCCACAAAAATGAGGAGACACGTATTTTTTTACGTCCTGATTCTGCCATACCACCGAGAAAATGGCTCTGGAATGTGCCTCTCGAAGATGTTTTTTTATTATTTTGAAAAAATTACGCACCATTTTATACTCAAAATTCAGAGCACTATTCGTTGAACACCCACTTGCGAAAAAAGTTATGAAATACTGTGGAGTTTTCGTAAATATTAAAAAATCCATCTGCAGGACTCATCGTTAAAAAACCCAATTCGAAGACTGAATTTTCAAAAAAAATCCATAATTATAGGTTTCCGAAGAATTTGCAATTTTCAAAATAGAATAAGTCTTCCACATGAAAATGCAGAATTCGAAATTAAACAAATCGGCACATTAATCTCTCAAAAGCGTTAACCGATCTCGAAACTGTCTCTCCCAAAGAATTTAATTTTTTTTTCCCGCCGTACGCAAATGGTCCGGAAATGAACGAGTTATCGCACGACTCGGTCGCCCAAAACTTACCCCCACACCATAAGTTGTTCGCAACACTCTGGATAAACTGTTTTTCCGGTCTACGATACGATATCTCCTATTTCACTTATATCTCATTTTTTTTTCTATTTCCTCCTCCCTTTTTCGTTAACCTAAGGAAAGCGCGAGGGGTGAGTTCGGGTGAAAGGGAACAATCGTTGAAACTTTATCGTGGATTTATAGGCATGCCATTAAAGTAAAAAAAAAGAGAGGGAAAAGGGCAAAAGATTTTTTTTTCCCAGCACCCTAATCTTCATCGCACGCCTTCTCTCTCCTTTTTTTTCCTCTCACTCCGAGTTTCTCGTTTCTGATTTGCAGACTTTCAAGACTTTTATCGGGCTTACGATCTTCCTCCCTGGATTTGCATGTTTTTCCTCGGGCCCTTCCTTTCTTCCACCACGAATACTCCCTTTGCTACTCCTTCGTACAACGTAATTCGTTTCAATCGATTTACTTGAATGAAAAAGTTGAGGTTTTTTTCACAAGTGAATGTGAGTGAATTCCGGTTCTATTCTTGTTGTCTCCTCATATTGATTCACCTCTTGTCTCTTCACTCTCGTTGTGCAATTGTCGAAATTCTCGTGATGCCCCTCAATTAATGCGAGGAAAGAAGTTGATTCAGGGTTGAATGGCATCCGAGGACAAAGTGTATAACCGTGTTTGGTGAGGATCAGCGACCAATCATGGAGTTTGAAGTGGCCAAGCATTGCAACAGAAGTGGAGTTGCGAAACGACTCACCCTTGACTCCTCTCCTGCTGTTGAAGGACCACATCACCGCATCTCCATCGTGTACCACCCAATCCTCCCGGCTGTTGGAGCCGAACGATAAATGGTATCTGCGCCCAAAGTGCACCAGGCATTTTTCCCACGGCTATATCTCCTCTGCTCAACTCGCACATGACTCAAGTGATACTGAACAGTTACCCAGGGTTTTACTTCTACTTTAACAGTGACGCTCTCGAGTATACACAACGTGTATTCCATCCCACAAACTTTCCAGTATCTGCTTTTGTCTCGTTGGTCTGCCCCCTCGACTGAATTTTCCAACTTACTAGGGGCGCTTTTTCTACTGCACTCACCACTGCAATGGGAACCCAAACACTTGGACATTATTTTTTTATTTTAACCGAGTTATTCACCAACTTTGGTATAATGTTCAATATTTGACGCGTCAATATTAACTCTGTTGGGATCATATTGACGAAACGTTTTGATTAATGTTTGTCCGATAAACAGTGGAACGAGTATGAATTCACTTTCTCAAGTATACGCGCTCTTTGGCATTGGCGTTTTTAAGATCTTGATTTTGGGACTGCTCAGGAGTGGGAGCTCAGGACCTTGTATTGTGAGCGAAATTTGAAGAAATCTGGAGCAGTGTAGGCCGTTGACGACAGACCAAAAACATGATTTATCTTCTCAGAATCCTGCCATTGCCGCTCACTGAAACTCGCCCCTTCGATGTCAGACTGTTCCCCGAACTCCGGAAACTATAAGTTATTGGCACACGTGAAACTACTGGGATGTACCTTCTGTTTGACATTAGTGGAATTGTAGGATTCAACTGAGGATCCAACTGCGGTTTATGTCCACGTTATTCGAGCGATTCAAATGATCCGCGGAAATTATCCCTGTCCATCTTTCCGGTGACTCGAGCTCCCACTCGTTTCGCAATTTTAACAATTCCTGAATTTCCCCTCGGTGTCTACCAATTCTGAATATCTCTGAAAGCTCTTATCACCGATAAAAATCTCACCTGCAGACGCATTGACTGAAACACACGTCGTCGTCGATTTCGCGAGACTCCAAATGGGGTACGCATTTGAAAGGGCTTAAGGGATTAAAATAATAATAACGTTGGGAATTGGACACGGCCGAGGTGGGGCCAGCGTAATCTTCGTCGGCCATATGCCGGCGGCGCCCGGTTGGAATCAAGCCAGCAGCAGCACCAACTTCCTCTTGTGCGCCGTCAGGAAAAGCGAAGAGGCAGAGGGAAATAAAATAAAGGGAGAGAGCGACAAAAAAAAAGAATTGCTCAACCTAATCTGGCATCACGAAAGGGGAAAATGAATTTATTCAATTGGAGACTGCACGCCGTGTATGGAGAGCGCGTTTCAAATCCACCATTGGCACACGTGGCCTTCCCCCAACACTCCATTACAACCTTTTCACTCCATCACTCCAGTCGTCTCTATCTTCTCTTTATTCGAGTGGTAGGGGAAAAAAGGGGGTGAAAAAATATTTGGATAACGACTGGTTCGATAAGCCCGTTCACGGGAACGGCCGATTTCACTCGGATTCAATCACAGTTTCGCGAATTATCGGCGACTCCAGACATGGCCCACGACATGGGGGAAATCATAATCTACCGGGGGTTGTTGTCAAAGGGTGTCGGCCCGTCGGTTTTTCCGAGGTGGATGATGTCGTGATTTATATCGGGATATCAGACACTTGCGCAAACAGCATGAGTGACAGGTTTTAACACGTCGAAATGTTTGAGAAATAAATAAAATAATCTTAACAGAGGAAATCTTTCCAAATTCGAGATATTCGTGGATTAAATAATTTTTAATAATTTGACATGGCGATTATCAAAATTCATTGAGGAAAATTTTTCCGGCAATCGCAACTCGTCATTGACTTCTTCGTAGTCGCGAAGGGATTGTTCGGTTTTTTTTTTTAACAGGGGTAATTTTTACCCCTCGATCATCCCCAGGTACAAGCTTGCACATGACACAGAATTGTCCCAGTTTTTCGAGTTAAGACACGCGCGGTGATATACCATGGGGTAACAAGATCCGATGGGGATTACGATTCAATCTATCGAACACTTTTATCGACTTACGATATCCACAGCCCCTCCACTTTTTTTTTCATCCACTCCTCTGCACTGTCCTGCAGATGGAATCCTGATATTATCTTCCGCATCCGCCGTGGACGAATCATCTACATCGAGTTTGTAAAATTCACTTGATACCCGAAAAAAATACCAGGATCTTGGATAAATCCCGGAGATGCCCGTTGATGTATACTCGGGTTTCAAGTAGGGGATCCACCATAATCAATGGATTTTTTCCCGATTTTAACGAGACAATTGAATAGTAATTCCCAGCTGTCCTGAATTTTTCCCAAACCTCTGAATTTTCAATGGATGTTCAATATTATAAAAATCTCCCACCACTTTCCAATCCCAATAATCCCCTCACCCAAATTCAATGAAAGTCAGCGTAAAATAAAATAAATAAAAAATTAACATCGACCAGTATAGATTAATATTCCCTCCATCGAGCAAAACTAAAAATTAACCCACACTAAATAAACCATAAATCTTCAAAACTTCAATTACGCACTGTCTGAGTCTATTCAGCGATCCCCAAAAGGTTTATACATCCAGTATGTTATTCCAGAGGGTTATCCATAGACCTGATAAAAAAGCAAACGGCAATGAAGACCCAGAGAATGAATACAAGAGAAGGGTGAAGTATGCATAAATGAGGGGGGATGGGTTTTCGGTTAGTTCCATAATACAAAACCCCTTTCACCCTTTTTACCCCTTCCCCCCCCATTGCCCCCTTGCCCCTAGTAACCACCCACTCTGATACCATATAATATATGGCATTGTTCGCGCTCTCTTAGACCCGAGTGGAACGACTATATTTATAAGGGGTGACTTTTCTTTCATATGTTAAGCAGATCAGTGTCGAGAGCCTCCTGCTTCTTGCAGACTCCTATTCCCCATCTAAAACTCAGTCTGAGTTGCTTGCGTAAATGTTCCCTGGTAAATTTAATGCTCCACCGGAGAGACACGGGGTTCCGGGCGGTTACCAGGAAAACGAAGAAAAAAAACCATCTCCAAAATGGGCCCCAAGAGACGGCACATCCCCCTCTTTCAAATTTTTGGAATGAAATTACCATATTTTTTTTTTTAAACAATTATTTTTTTTCACAGTGGTTTTGGTAATTTTGTTCGTAATTTTATTGATTGGTGATAAGGTAAATGGATTTGATTTTTATCCTGTATTCGGCCTCTGGGATCAGAATGCAAATATCGGGCCAGAGCAAAGGGATGAATCATCAATGTCTTTTGATAATTTGATCGCCGTCTGCTTTCATTTACAAAGAGAACTAATTAAAACGAGGGACTTAGATTCTTCTACACACTCTCACTTGGAGAGTTTCTTATTTCAATTTCTTCGTCCCCTTTCGCAAATCCACTTTGAATCTTTAGTGGAGGGGGAGAGGATATTTGACTCGAGACTGAAGGACCACCCTCGATGGGTTCAGAGGCAATTATTGTATTCATACTGCAATTGCTTCGGGCGGAATAAAGCGGAATATTATTGGACGAATCCTTCCATTAATTCGATTATTATTTTTTCTGTTTACAGAACATGTTCGGGAGTTCAGCTGCGGAATGCTGTATTACAGGACTCTGTACCTGGACAGCAAGAGAGACAGTCTATATGTTGGAGCCATGTAAGTCCTTTTAATCCTAATATTAAATAACAAATCATGCATGGATAAAAAAAATTGTTCAGTCATGTTCAGCTTGAACAGAGAATTTGTCCAATTTCTCTCATGGTATTCCGAAAAATGAATGAATTCAAGTATTTTTTACCGTATGTAATTGATTTTTCGGTGATACACTGACTAACCCAGCGAATACCAACGCAGAAGGGAGCTAGTAATCCGGATATAGTAGTCAACTCCGAATGTTTTCCCGGCGAATCATGAATACCCCGAAATTACGAAAGCATTCATCCACGGATGTGTGGATGAGTGACATTGTCACACTTTATGGATTGATAATCACTCGGAAAGCCCCATATTCCACATTGTACTAAAAACTTGATAGCTTCGACAGAGGCAAAAGCAGAATATTTGGAATCTCCCGTTTAACGATCATGAGAGAATTTCACATGTACATTCCACCCTCTAATTTCACGCTCGTCACCATATTCACGTTAAAATTACAGTTCCCATTTCATTCCCTAATTGATGACTTGCCATCAGTATTTTTAAGGGTCCGATAAAACGATTCACCCTCAGCCTTTACCATTCACTATCTCAAATACATTGACTCGAGAGAGTTGAATCCCAACTGCAGCCAACTTCAAAACCCTATTCGTTTTCCCATGGCACCAGCCCACCCGTGTATCCGCTTTTTCCCTTGAACTGAATCTACCAAGCAAGAAAATACCAACCACGCGAGTTCACTCCCTCCTCTGAGATATATCCGCGTACACACAGATAGAGAGAGAGAGAGAAAAAAAAAGGAAGAGACGGTAGTGTAAAGCCCATCGCTCGTCAAATTAACCGCGCGAACTTTGCCGATAAATCACACGCCTTTCCTCCCTGACTCTACGTCCTTTTTGGCTCGGGCCAAGCGCAACGTAAACTTTCGCGAATTGCTTTTTCTGAAGCTGCCAGACGATATACTAGTGCTTTTGCATTATCGCGTCTTTGTCACGCCACTTGTATACGCTATTTGTCACCCCCGAGAGGGCAAGTATCCAACTTGGTGCGATGTACAATCTAATGCCAAAATTATAATTTATCTAGTCACAAAGTCCACATACTTTGAGTTGAAAGGAATCGTAACGTATGACTGCCGCAGGGAATTTATACTCGATAATGAGGGTGATCATACAACATTGTACAAACCACTTGTCTTCTGGGGTGCACATCCACTCTGTCCGCACTATCATTATTACAGACAGAGTATTATTCCTTGAGTCAGTACAGCTTCACATCCCTTTGTCCTCTGATCCCCCCTTAATTTGGTAAATGCCAACAAAATGTTACACACAGCGATGGGTAATAGGCTAAGAGTAACGGGGGATGGGGTGGAGCGATCCGCTCATGATGACGTGGTGGATACTTGAGACGAGTTGGAGATGAGGACGAGGGACTGGGGATGAAAAAAAATTGAGCCCTGAATGGCGAAGGCTCAGGCACAGAATTAAGCTCGAATTACAATTGATTCCTTCTTTCTTTTTTTTCATTAGAGAGAAAAAAAAAATACTTTGGCCGGAGCGATTACCAGTTTCGAGGGGATATCTCTCCTTTTCCTCCTGGACTTCATTTCGTTTTTCACTCTTCAACATTATTTTCAATTTCAATCCCCAGGTCTTTTAAATAGAAAAACTAGCCGCGCTGTATTTGCATTTCCCGCCTTGAACGTGCACGTATGGCCAATTGATTATACGACCAATGAGATATTTTAACACGGATGAATTTCATTTGTGTCTCTCCTTTCTCAAATTGCCCCAACAGTGTCGATAAATCCTTGAGTACCCCATTGTCGCCAGAAGAGCGTGAAATCTCATGTTCACCTGCTGTACCCCGGAAAATTTTTTCCCAAAAACTACGACTACAGCTCGAACTGACGTTGACGAAGAAGCAATGTTGCGAAATATGTCAAGTTGTCTGTAGTATTCTCCCAAACAAAACAGCCGAGTGATAAAGTGAAAAGAACCTAACTGCCTCTCTAGAAAACGTAGCAACTCTTTCAGCTTTTGTCGCTGTCCCAGAATAGAAGTGGCGAATTGATGGGGTGAGAAAGGGGGTTGGTGGGTGGGGATTTTGAGGGGTTGGTGGGGTGAGAAAGTGGGTTGGTGGGGTGAGAAAGCGGGTTGGTGGGGTGAGAAAGTGGGTTGGTGGGGTGAGAAAGCGCGTCGGGGGGGGATTTAGGGGGTGGGAGAGAAGGAGAAACCGTGGTAACGATAAATTGCCTTTCTCTTTTGGGCAGCCAGCGCCAGTGGCACATTGGTTTTACCGTAGTGCAGTCTTCTGGCTTGGTTCCACGCACCCCATCTGAACCATTGGCACACCTCTGCCTTTACCCGATGTTCAACTACCGGTAGCCTCCAGTGGTATCTATTCCCCCTAGGCTATCGAATTCCGATAAGAACATCTCGCTGCGGGAGGCCAAAACTGAACGGTACGTTTCTACCAATGATCTTCAACGCTTCCGTTTATCTCACCAACTCCAACAAATCAACTGCTCCATAGTTTTCCCTTTGACTCTGTTAATACATCTCTTTTTGTTATCCCACTCGTGGTAATTATTTCTGAGTGAATGATCTTTTGAACTAGCGGATAATTCGATCGGAGTAGAGAAAATCGGTTCTGTCAGGTGCATTTGAAATCAATATCGGCTATCCACTCGAACGCCTCTAATGATCTTTTTTTTTCTCGTTAATTAGAAATGTGATGCTTTTGGTAATGAGTATTCAGAGTCTGTGGTACGCCTGCGGCAGTTCACTCCCGATTAAAGGCACGCTAATTGAAGTTGCCTCAATTATCGGTGGGCGGTGTATAACGGTTTGGGAAAGGAAAACTGAGAACCCTTCGGGGTTGTGCGCTGCGTGTTAATCGACAGTGCCTTTGCAAAATGAAACGAATTCTCTTGATGGTCGCTTTTTTTTTTCTTTTACTCGCCCTCGTTCTCTTATTATGCCCTTTCTTTTCAACCCCCCCCCTCTGACCCAGAACCGATTACAGACTGAGAATGGATTCGTCAGAGAAATATGGAGATTTCTTGACGATGCGCGAAATGATTTTCTTGTAAATTGTTCTGATTTTCTGCTACGCAATGGAGTGATGATTTCACGGTGTGATGAGCATAAATGAGGTTATCTCTTCACCACAAATCTCTATTCTCAGCGATTTCCCATGTGAGAAGCGAAAGATTACCATGAAAATTGAATAGTATTCACGGCCCGAAGAGAATACCCGGGAATCTTTGGGTTGCGTGAAGATTTGGCGAGGGTAACGGAAATCGCTAAACAACTCTTCATAATTCACGAGTCCTTACTTGAATAATACATCCCCGAGTTTTTTTTTTGGTTATCTTCAATTTCTTATCCTCTTCTTCTTCTCAAAGTGATTATTTATAATTCACAGAGACGCGGTCAACTTATACACAAAGAAATCAATAAAAAAAAAAAATCGAAATCAATGACAATCCGAATTTCGCCCAAATTGTTTTCTCATCTTCAATTATTTACCCCTTTTTATGTAATTACCATTATTTTATCTTATTATGCGCTGTCTATGAATATTTTATTCATTGATTTTTTGATCTTAAAAATTTATTAATTTATTTACAAACGGGAATCCCGAAATCATCAACGAAGAATTCATAATTTACAAGAACAATTCAAATTTGTATCTCCAATTTTTTCACCCTCTTTTTTTTCCTCAAAAGTAATTATTTATAATTCACGAAGGCGAGTGGTGAGAGGGTGCCATGGAATCGAGGAATTTTACCCTTAGTATACTCGACACCTCAGTGAAATTCCGCACCCCTTATATTCCTCGATCTTTCGCCTGTACCCCCCAAATTGAAATCGATGCGCGTCCCCAAGACCAACTTTTTACCCGTAAAATTGGTTCCGTGCCTGAGCTCACAGTTGCGCGCGCATTTTTTCCCATCTCCTTCCACCATTTTCCTCCGCGTACATTCGAAAGCTCAAGCACGTACAGCCATGAAAGTTTTCAGGAAAAACTTTTTTTTTTCCCTGAATTCCAAGGAATCGGATTTGTTTTTTCAAAGTGTCGGCAGTATTTACTTTTTACAGCCACGGAGGTATACGGAATGAATGAATAAGAGTTGGGGGCATGAAATGGCGCTACGATTGTCTAGATGGCAGCACTGCGGTGCATCCATTCCAGGCCGTTAGCTCTATTGAAAGCCGATATGACGAATGGCTATTGGAAATAAAGTTATGCACGCCAGTGGCTAATGTTGCGAAAGCCCGATGAAAAAAAAAAAAAAAAATCCAGCCACTTGCGGAGTTGTAAGTCGGTTTGATTTACTCCAGCGAGGGCTAGAGAAAAAATGATCAAGCTGATGATTGCGCGAATCGGGTGGGCGGTATTGCCAGGTTACACAGCCTTTCAGCCTTTTTTACAGAAGCCTAAGCTCCCCGTGAGTTTTCACCGCTGGATCATTCCTTTTGAGAAATAATCCAACGTCGCGACTTTATGCTCATTTTTATGGGGTTATTGCGTAGACGAATCGGGTAGAGTCACGGCGGAAGTGGCCAATAGGAGCGAAACCGGAAGGATTCGCCGAGACGTCCTCTGAAAGTTTGAAGCGTCTTCTGCACAATTCCGGAAATGAAGGGATCGTTACTCACTATCAGGGAAGGTTTTACTCTCCTTCTTCCCGAGTACTTTCGTTTTGGTGGATATTTTATATACGTATAGATGACGTACCACCGTCTCGCGACCTGCAGGACTGCCTGTCATTTTCACTGCACCTCATAGAAATTCTACAGCCCTCACGGGCATTTGTCGCTGACTCCGCTACGGTGAAATACGGGGCCCATACTGGACCGAGCTAGTACAATACCTAGCCTATTATGAGATTAAAGTTTGAGTAGGTTGTAAAAAATGGTCGCACGACTGCGACAGATAAAAATTCATCCGTGACCGTTTTTTTTTTCTTATACGGTTGTCTGGTAATTCGCGGTTAAATAATGACCTCTCATTTGTGCTTTCAGGGATAAAGTCTTCAGGCTCAATCTCAGCAACATCAGCCACACCAGCTGCGAGGTGAGTACTTTTCACTATTTATTTTGACATTTCTGGGGGATGTGTGCTCTCTTCAGTGTCTTCCCCAATTTTTCATTTTTAACGGGGTTGATGCTTCAAGAAAAATTCGAAATGTCGTCTTAGGATGTGCGGCGTTGAGAAAAATTTCATATTTCGAGGGACTTGACTACTTGCTTTCAAAATAATACGCTTACCATTATTTGTTTCTAGTAAAATTCAATTTAGGAGAATATTCAATAGTCAATTGGTATTTAAAAATTGTGACATTTCTGAGACTTCACGTAATTTTGGGTCGTTTTTTTTGTTTTGAAGAAATTTTATTGGCAAACACTTGACCCTCAGAAAGTCCAAAAAAATCTGGGATCACAGCCCTCGGGCGTTTGGCGATTTTAGTGACAACCTGTCCCTTTCCATCTCTTGTTATCATTCCAATGCCGCCCCCGTCCTCACCAATGTGTGCAGATCGTAAATCCGAAAACGAACGTGCGCGATAGAGCCATCCCCATAAAACTGTCAATCATAATGCAAGTACGCCTCTCGCTCTCTGTGCGCGACAGCTGACACGTCTACAACGTTTAAGCCATCCATTGTCACCGGATTTTTTTTTATACCATGGGGCGAGAGACACATGCGACTCTGATTGAATCACATCTTCGCACTTTTAGTGCGATGGATTTTTTAAAACAATTTTTCCAATTTCCTTATCGCTGAATGGAGTAGACATAAATCCAGTTTTTTTTTGTGGCATTGAACTTTATATTTGTCTCGTGATATTTTTTTTTTTAACTTCTCTCCTCTGCACCTATTTTCGCGCTCACCGCGACTTTCGATCGGAGAGATTGAATTGGAATTGCCTCGCTTTCGCATCCCCACAGAAAAGGGGAATAAAGGGGTTCGACACAACGTACTCGATGCCTGTGGGTTTTTCGTGGTGACCATTTGAGAGCAACTGACCAGATCGCCGCGGATGGAAAATTGCTTTTTAACACTGTTCCGGGACTATTCCACCACTTTCTAACGTTTTTCTTTTCACCGTGTCGCGGAGGGCAATTTGATGATGTTGAGAGAATTTCGAGGTCTTAGATTTATGGGCTCATGAATTTTGACGGTTTCCGTGCTGTGAGAAAAGAATAGAAACTCCGGACAGGGTACCAATAATTTTCTGAAGAGTGATATTGAATTCGTTTTACGAAATTTTAAGAATTCCAGTGCCTGAGACAAATTCATCCAAATAATTTCAAATAATTTTACCTTTCCGCAGAAATATTTTCTCACGGATGAAATAATTAATCCCCCAAAACTAGCATTCTCTGCCGTTATTCCATCAACACTGTTAACCCCATTAAAGCTTTTCTTTTCAACAAAAAAAAGTTAAATAAAAAAAGGAAAAGGCAAAACGAGAAAAGCCAACATCATTGAAGCAACAAACACGAAAAAAAGGAAAAAACTGAAAACAAAAGGCTGAAAAAAAATCTCTCTAATTCGAAGACGCGACAAAGGGTGGTAGTAATTTTTTCTCTCTCGTCATCCCTTTGAGCTCGTGAAGCACAAAAAGAGTCTTTCAAGTTATATATACCTGGAGCGACAATGTTGCATCGTGTATAACGAAGAAAGTGCGGGATAGAAGCCGGGAAAAGGTGCGCGTTACGTGCACAAATGTCGAAACTGTCCGAGTGGCACACGATGCGTATTCCCTGGAGCGATTTAATACTAGTGAGGGAGCAAAGAGATGGACCAAGGGATGAGTGCAAAAAAAAATTGACTCTGCGGGCACTATGGGACACCAAGGGATGGTAACCATTTCGAAATGCAATTATTCGAGCGCGGCGACGCGTTTCGTATTTCCTAACTCGGCCCACCACCCAATCCGCCCCCTTTTTCGTATTTTTATACATGTATTTTTTCGACAGATGTGCACAGGTCCAAAGGTCACGGAATTATTTTCATCTCGATGCCCGCAGTGTATCGAGGATTGAGGGAGATCCGGAAAATAGGGAGATATTTCTTTTCTCTGTTGAATGAAGAAAATAAATGGGGCAATGTTATACGGAGAAATAAAGTTCGCGCTATTGGGTTATAAATCGGTTGGAATACTGATTCAAGTTGATGCTTTGAGTTGAAAAATTGAGACTTGAATAAAGTAGAGTACCGACGACTCAAGCACAAAAAGAAAATTCAGGATTTTTCGTATATCGTCTGTGCATTTCGCGAAACATCCGCGGAGCAACTTTTCTCTACCTGTGGAATATCACAAAGCGTATTTTTAGATGAATAAAGAGAATTAGAAAATTTCTTTTGTGCTTTGACTGAAAAAATTAATGGAGTGATTTCATGCGGAGGAATGAACGGAGTTTGAAATGAGTTGAAAGACTCGTGTGAGTCTATATCCGAGATGAAGCATCCAATAATTTCTCCCATCGATCGCACGTGGAGTTTTTCCTTTTTACTTCTCTGCAAAGAGAGCGGATATATCAATAAATCAGGGGATGAGAACTTTTTTTTTTTACTGAAGTATATCATAAAATATATTTTTAGAGTGGCAAGAGAGTATTTCTCGTCGATATTTTTTTACGAGCATTGCGTGACGTACGCCGAGGCTCAAGGGCTGGGATAACGCGAGCTTATTGCCGACCAGATTTTATGGTTAATTAAGGTATTTTTCGCTTCCTGGTTGGGTTAATATCGAGTTAATGATATGGAAATTGTAGGGGGGGATTATTATTTTCCAAGTTCGTCGATGTTTGCGTCGGGGTTTGTTGATAGAATTATTAACGACGCGTGTTGAAAATTTCTCGTAAAAAGTCTATCTAAATTTATCGGCATGACTTCATTCAGGAGCAATGAGGATATCCGAGCTCAATTTATCCCGAGGGCTCCTCCCATTTTTTGTTCATATTATGATTTAAACTTCTGAAGTTGTAAATTTTATCCTTCATCTTGAAAGAAATTGGAAACTCTATGGTCCGCGAATAATTTATAGTCATTGAAAAACTGCAATTTTTCCTTTCTCTTTCTGCGGATTGACATAATCTCAGGTTTATTTAAATTCTCAAGATTATCTTGAACCTTTCATTCCACAAATTTAGCTATGTGAAGTTGGCATCGAAGTTTGAAAAATCTAACTTTTTTTTGTTGGTTTGGATTGTACTCATTGAGTACTTGAATGTACCCTGTGCACTTTTTTTTGTACCCTCTTACTTTAGCCCTGAAGCAGGGGG